GGCGCCCAGGCGGTCCCGGGAGAGCCTGGCCGGGGTCGCCAACAGGGCGCAGGGTCTGCGCGGCGCCAGGGCGCTGGCTGCCGGGCCCGCCAGACTGGGGAGGGGGCTGGTGTCGTGGCAGACAGCTGGGGGACCCCGTCCTGGCTGGCAAGCCCTTTCCGAGCACTGCTCATACCCACCGCGGGACTTGGCGACACAGGTGGGGACCCGGCAATTAGGAGTCCTTGCATCTCACATGCATCTGGCTCAGAGCTCTGTCACAGAGCGCTGCGTGTGTCGCCACTGTGGCTCCGTCCCCCCCAGGTTTCATCTCTCTCGTCATTTGTTAGATTTTGCCGTTTTCCCTCTCTGCTTCTAGGCCTGTGGAAGTCCCATCAAGGGACCGGGAGGTGGAGGAGGCCAGCCCTGCTGGCTGGAGATAGGCAGCGCTGGGAGCTGGACCCCCTGGACCATCTTGGCTCCCCGGTCAGGCACATGCAAGAGGACAGACCCCAGAAAGACTCTGCTTTCACACACCCGCAGCCGCCATCCAGTTTAAGCTAGGGGTAGGTTTAACATCTGCCTCTTTACATTTTCCCTAAAATCTAAATGCCCATGTGTTACTTTTCTTCTGGGATGGGGTTCACTTAGGGCCAGAGCTCCCTCAAGACAGTGGACTTACATAACCACGGTTCAGGCCTGGGTCAAGACATGGAATGACTTTGTTACCCCAAGGGCCAGCCAAAGGGTAGGATAGCCTGTCCACGCACCTCCAGGCCACTGGCAGCTCTGCAGAGAGCGGGACGTGTTTGCCCTGCCGAGGGATGTCCTCTCTTGGCCTGTACCATCCATGGCTGTGCAAAGTGGGCAGTCACCTTCCTGCTCAACAGCCCACTTTGCCGACCAGGTCACTGTATTGAGGGCTGGGCCTTGAGTTTGCTTTGAGACCTGTGGCTTTTAGGGACGAAAAGAGAGAGTGTCCCAAGCTGGGCTTCCTGGCTAAGCCTCGTGAATCATTTTCTCTCATTATACCTCCTTTCAATCAGGTCATCTCCCGAACTTCAAAGTCTACGTTAGCATGCTCTTGAGGTGATGTTTTTTTGTTTGTTTGTTTGTTTTCCAACAGGGTTTAGAGACCTGAAACATCAATAGCTTCTGGGCGGTCCTGAGGATTCAAGAGGTGAGTAGCTTCAATAGAAGTCAAGTCATTGTGTCTGTCACCACATCTTCTGAAGTTGGATAAAAGCCCAACAACAAGTGTCAGTTCAGATCAGATTTACAACAGGCAAGCACCTGTTCTTCAGGGCTGCCTAGAGGAAGACCCCTGTGATTACCGTTCTCGGGGAGGAGGGACGTCTTGGTGGGGGCCCGATGTGCACTCTGACGCCTTGGCCCTGAAGCTCCAGGTGTGTGGACCGCAGCAGCGTAGGCTAGAGGCCTGGAGTCAGTGGAGGCTGATTTGAAAGCTCTGTGGTCCTGCCCCTCCCCGTGAGCAGCGGATGCTACTGAGGAGCATGCGGCAGGTTACGGCTCCGTCTGATGGCAGTTTGCCCTTAAAAAACCACAGAAACCAGAACAGTGGGCAGAGAGGCCTCTGAAGGAGCCGAGAGTGGAGTGCTCACGCCTGGGTTTGTGCAGGAGGTGTTTGAGATCTGCCCCTCCTGGGGGGCTGAGTGACTCAGGAGGCTTTGGGACACAGCGTTACGGCTTTTAAGGCCTTGAGTCCGGGGCAGACCGCTTGGTTTCACTCCTGCTGTTCCCAAGGCATGCCGCTCCCAACAGGTGACCTCTGTCCCTGCTGGAAGGTGGGCTCAGGATGTCACCGCCCTCGCTGTTCCCAAGGGACTCCTGAAGTGGGTCTGACTTCCGCCAGGTGCTCTTGTGGTGGCTCCTCGTCCCCAGACACTTCCCTGACCCTCCGTGACGCTCCCTATTCCGTCTCGAATGCTCACAGAGCTCTTGGTTTGTTCCAGGTGCGTGTCTGAACACTGTACCGTAATTCACCCATCCACACACAGCCCTGTGAAGGAATTGCTCCCTGTTATCTTTATTTTACAGGTGGGAACGTTGAGGCACAGAGAGGTGAAGCAACTTGCTCACCAGGGAGCGACAGACGGGGGTTCAGGCCCAGGTGACGAGGTCAGTGTTCACGTCCCTGCGCTGTGCGGCTGCCATATCACCACATTACCTTACTCAGTCGTCAGCTTGGTGGTTTTTGTCAATGAAGTCCTATGGGAACACAGCCACACTCAGTCCCTTATGGTACTGTGGCTGCCTTCTCAACAGAGGCACTGTTGAGGTGCTGCCTCGGAAATCCTGCACCCAGCAGAGCCGGAAGTGTGGGCTTTCTTCTTTTGGCCTCGTCTGCAGCCCTGTTGTCATCTGGAATGCCTCTCCACTCAGTGGTTTCTCTCTTTGGCACTAGGGTACAAGTTATGAGAGCACTGGTCTCTCTTGTCCCGTTTAGCTTGGTCTCGGGGAAGTTTTCAATGTTCTCTTTTTTCCCCTGAAGATTTGGTAACTTGAGTCTGTAAAATAAAATGACCGTAGATAACAGGGAAGAGAACATACAGATCATCTTAGGTGCTAATCAGCACGGCATCTGAGCTCAAAGAGGGCTGAACCTCGTGTGGAGCTAACAGGGGTGCGGGGTTGGGCTTCTGAGGGGGGGATGTGGAGCCCCAGGGCTGCGGGGGAGGCTGAGCAGCTATCGAGGGTGGCCTTGCTGTGCAGGTGGGGCCTCTCCCAGCCATCCGTGACGATCCCTGCAGGGGCCAGGCAGCAGACCCATGCAAGCTCTAAGAGCGCTCCTAGACCCAAAGGGGAGTGGTGGGTTGGAAAGCCGGGACCTGCCTCCGCGTCTCCTAAGGTGGCCGTGCACACTTCTCTTTACGACAGGACAGCTTCTCAGAGTCTGCAGAGGTCTGCAATTTCTCTGAATATCCAACCCTACGTATGTCAAAGAAATGTATTTGGGATGTGATATTCTCCTCTCCCTCTGTGCGTAGCGAGCTCCTAACACGATGCCGGGCATGGGGCGGTGTTCAGTGAGCATTTGGCAAATGAGCATCCCTCAGCGATGCAGCGAAGGGCGCTGTGATTACGCTCATTTAGCGCTGGACCTTTGCTTTGACTCTTCAAGGAAACTTCCTCATGGAGATGGGCTTGTTTTCTGCCTAGGTTTGGAGGCTGCTATGTTAATGCTGCTTGTCTTTGGAGCGTTACTGCATGAAGTCTCTCTGAGAGGTCAAGATGGGGCTGCCGCCGAGACCCACCGGGCGCCGGGTGAGCCCCTGTTCGACTACGCCAGCCTCCGCCTGCACCAGGAGCACATTCCCCGCTTCTTGCACAACAACAGGCACATCGCCACCCTCTGCAAGAAGGACGCACACTGCCCATATAAGGTAGGCGTTAGGCGTCTCCCCTTCTGCAAGGACGCGGTTTGGGCTGGTTTCCCAATTCTGCTGTAACGGTGGGGTGAAACCGAAGGTCGGATTCTGACTCTCGGACGAGCCAGTTCATCCCACCACACTTCTGAGTGAACTGAACTTGTCTGAAAACCATGTCCACGCACAGGAGTGACCGTTGGTGTCTAAGCCGCTGCTAAAACGGCACCCAGTCCTGTCTGCACACTCTTATAAATGAAGCAAATCAGGTTTTAGGCAGAAAAGAACATTCGTCCCAAGTCAAGAATTCGCACCCGCTTCCCTTTTCAAGGGCTCTTAAGAGGTCCCTTGGCGCTTAATTTCAGCAATGGCTCCTCAGCCTCTCTCCCCAAGCCAGACTCTGAGGTTGGAAAGGCCTCAAATAGGGGCCCATTAAGACGTCTCCGAGGGCCTTGGAGATCAAAGCTGGGCACCAGGAGACGCTTCCTTTCCCACATGCCCGTGCAGGAAGCACATGAAAAAGCAGTTCCTGGAATCCAACCAGCGCTGCTCCTGGCGCCTTGCAGAGGAACCTGGCCCTGCAGCCCCTTTCCGTGTCCCTCCGGGGCCTCAAGGGTGTGACCTTGGGACCTTGGGTGTTTCTGCTGATCTTGATTGATGAGCCAAGTTCCTGCTCTATTCAAGTTAGCGGTGCTCCTTTTAGTAACAGAAATTCCAGCGTGCGTATCTGCTCAGCTTGCCCTCTGAGAAAGGCCCGTCTCTGAAGCCGGAATTTAAAGACCTTCTAAATCAAATGGGTCTTTGGTGGTCTAGCTAAAGAGCTTGGATGTTTGGTTAGGACAGACGCAGGCGTGATTAAGGCAGCCACTGGGAAGCGAGACTGCTCGTCTCGGAATTCACTCCGGGAACGTGAATCCTAGGGTAACCTACCACAGTCTGTAAAGGTTCGTTTTGCGAATGGAAAAAAACCTGAGCATTCCCTGTAAGCGTCAGAAAGGAGGCCCACCTAAGTGTGCGTGTTTCATGTCGCAGGAGCACTTGGAAAACCTGAACTACTGCTGGGGCTACGAGAAGTCCTGCCAGCCAGGCTTCAGGTTTGGTTACCCCGTGTGCAGCCTGGGATGGTAAGTTCCCCCAGGGAATAGATACCCTGCTCCCCGTGAGGCTCCTGCTCTCTGGGCCAGGCCTGCCAGTACCCCGCTTGCCTTAGATAGTCATTCTTTAGGTATTAATCTGCCAGTCGAGTCTTGTACTCAACTGACTGTCTTCAGGCTGGGTGGGGATATCGGTCACTTCCTCTGCCGGAGGGAGAAGACAGTGCATGGCCCTGGACAGCACCTCCCCAGGGTAGGCAGGGGAGACAACGGAGAGTTTCCCCGGGATTCAGCAAGAAGCTTCCCCTTAGGGTGAGGTGGGTAGGGTGCTGTCTCTCCTCGTGAGCCCATGAGTCAGTGAATAGCTTCTGCTGGTAGCTTCACCTACAGAGGAATAGTTAACGGGGAAATGATGATAGATATGCAAAAAAAAAAAAAAATAATAATAATAAAGTAAAGCAGATTTCTGCAGCTTAATGTTTAGACAGAAAACTCCAGCCCAGAAAGAGGTGAAGGGCAAAAGCAGCTTTTCTTTTGCAAACAGGATGGACAGCGTGGAGGCGGCCCAGGACTTGTTCTGGAAGCAGGCCGACTTCGGGTTTGCCAGGGAGCGGCTGGAGGAGGTGCGCGTGCTGTGCCGGCCCGAGAGCACGGTAGGCGCCTGGCTGTCTCACGCATCAGCGTGCTTCATGTTACTATTAGTCGTCAATGGCATTGATCAGGTTGTAATGTAAACACAAGAGAAGTGGCACCATCCAGGGAATCCCCTTCTCTTTATAGACTTGGAGTTTTATTAGCATCCCCAAAGGCGGGATTCTGTCTCCTTCAGAAGCCCTGTTCTCCTTTCACAGGTAGGTCAGACAGGTATATCTTGAGGCAGTTAAAACAGTTTTAGGTTCAGAATCTCCTCCCACCACATATGCTGAAGAAGAGAAACTGGTTGTGGTGTCTTTACAGATCCCTTCTCAGGCTGCGCTCTGAGGCACACCCTGTAAATCCCAGCAATTTAGGAGGCTGAGGCAGGAGGATCACAAGTTCAAGGCCAGCCTCAGCAACTTAGTGAGACCCTATATCAAAATAAAAAATAAATAAATAAAAAGGGTTGGGGACATGGATCAGAGGTAAAGTGCCCCTGGGTTAGATCCCCAGTATCAAGGTCATCTGGGGCAGAGGATACACCTGGTCCAGGCTTCTCTTTGCTGAGCACTGGACAGTTTGCAGCGAGCTCTCCGGAACGCTGTCCAGCGGTCTCACCAGTGCTGCAGCAGACGGGCAGAGCACAGATACCGAGCCGCTTTCCTAGAGCAGAAAAGAGGGCCTTCAAAGCAGTTAAGCGGCTCCTCTGAGCCCTCCAGCTGCCTTCCAGACTATAGAATTCAAGGCGGCTGGTTTTCCAGTGTGTTTCCCTCCATTCCACATCACACCCCCGTGGGGAGGACAAACACGAGGTCAGCAGGTGGTGTTGCGTGGTGACAACAAAGTCGGCTCCCCATCACAGACTTCAGGTCCTGACTTGGTCAAGGCACTCGGCCGTTGGAGTTTGTCTCCCCGGCCTTAAGGCCATGCCAGTTTTGTAGCTTGTAGGGAGGATGAAACGAGGTTCTGCTTATAAAATTGCTCAGTGCAGGGCCTGGCTCCCCACAAAAGGCTTGGTGTTATTTTAAAGGTGGGTGGTATTGTGACCGCTTACTGTTGAAGTCCCCTATTCCCTAGAATCTAACAGTCCTGAACCCTGGCTTGGGGCCTCTGTCGCCTCCAGGAGTCTGGCAAAGGGAAAAATTAATTCACAAGCTGAATACATGCTCTCTAGTGCTGTTGGGGTGTCTTTGATTAGAGCTGTTAGCAGTTATGCAGAGGGAGGGAGGCCTGGAGCTGGGAGGCTGGGCCCTCAGCTAGACTGCCGCAGGCACCTGCAACAGGCCTCTGGCTGACGTTATCACAGTGGCTGGGGCTGGCGGTGGAGAAGGAGAAGGCCGGGGAGGAGCCCGGCCCACCCCGCACAGCTCTCAGGGCAGCTGTGGAATGCCGTCCATGTGCGTGTGCTGAGTCTGACCCCCGTCCTGGTTTGGGGCCGCTGTGATACCATAGCTCCATGGCCCACAGCTGCAGAGCTCCCTTCCTCCCAGTCCAGAGGCAGGGAGTCCAAGACAAAGAGGCTGGTGCCGTCGGGTCCCCGTCAGGGTCCTCTTCCAGCGTGCAGAGAGCTGCCCGTCTTTGTACCCTCCTCTGGTGCAAAGAGGGTGAGGTCCCTTTCAGAGGGCCACTAACCACGCTCACCAGAGGCCCCACCTGCTAGTCCCTCACGCCGAGTGTTGGGAGATGGAGTCTTGCAGACAGGAACATGACACCAGTCCCCTGGAATCTTGGGCTCACTGCAGAGTGCAGAACTCCTCGCAGGTCCTGATTAAGGCCCGGCGCTCATGACAAGTTTTAGGAAGAATAACAAATCAGCATTTGAATCTGCAAAAAAAAACCCAGAGCGGAACCATTGCAAGGTGCTCCCTCCTTCAGCGCAGACCAGTGGCGGGGGCAGAAGTGGGCTGTGGCAGTTGACTCTGCAGCTCCTTCATTCAGCTTTTGGGAGGATAATCTCTGTCTTCTACTTAGAGTAGCAAATGTAAGGGATGTATAAAAACCTGCGTAAGGAACCTCCAGTTCCCGTGAGGGACTCGTGGCCAGTCCTGCTGCTGGTGAGCTGGACTCTGCGAACTGTGGGCGACTCATTAAAATTGTCATCACTGGGTGTCTCGTGTGTGTGCGTGCGTGTGTGCGCTTCTCGTTTGGTCTGGCTCGCTGGGAGAACACTTTTCTCCATAGTTATGGGCCGCATTGGTTCCGAGCACTTGTTTTTGGGAACTGAACTGAACCGCGCGTACAGCTCAGCGGTGACATCTGAGGCCATGCAGAGAGACTCTTGTGGGTTCTGCACAGGAACCACACCCTGGGAGCTGGCAGAGGTCCCTGCGGCCAGGCTGGGAGGAGGGATCCTCAGACACGCAGCTCCGCATCCTTCCTCCCTGTGTCCTGTGGGTACACTTGCCGTCGACACATTCAGCCAGTTTGGCGAGTTCTCAAAATGGTCATGCTACGTGCCAGGCACGGTGGCCACACCTGTCATCCCAGCTGCTGGGGAGACTGAGCCAGTAGGGTCGTAAGTTCGAGACCAGCCTTAGCAATGTAGCCAGCCTGTCTCAAAATAAGAAAATAGAAAAAAAAAATAGAAAGGGTTGGGGATGGAAGAGTGAGCACCCAGGTACCATAAAAAAGAAAAATAGTCAAAGTTGTGTTTTTCTTTTCCTCAACCTTATTTCAGAGCGACTCCAGTCTGATGTGCTCTCGTTACCTTCAATACTGCAGAGCAACCAACCTCTACCTTGACTTCAGAAGCATCAAGAGAGATGAGGAAAGGTACGTAGAAGGTGCTTGTAGACGTTCCGAGAGGTCTTGGGTCGGGACTGTCTGGGACTTGCTTCACAGGGAAAGGGTCAGGCTGAGTGGCAGGTGAGGCAGGGATGCTCCACACGGGTCTTGATTGGATCACGGTGGGAATTAGGCCACAGGCACCTGGAGACCCTCATGGGATCCTACTATTTCTGCATGATTTTTTTTTTTCCTTTCTGCGGTGCTAGAGCCACCAAGCAAGTGTCTGCCACTGAGTGACACCCTCAGCCCGGCTTTTGCAGCTGTCTTAAATTTTCTATCATAAATTCAGTCACATCTCACCAAGTGGTGGGGATGCATTCTGAGAAACACGTATCTAGGCGGGTTGATGGCTGTGCAGACGCGGTAGAGTGTCCACACCGACAGGCAGCCAGGCTGCCACTGGTGTGTCTTAAGAGCCGCGTCATCGGTGTGGTTGCTCCTTGACGGGAATGTCATTGCACAAGCACGCGGCGTAGATTCTCATGGACGATGAATTTTGAAATTCGCGATTGCTTTTGCTCACAACTCATGGGCTTGAGTCTTGAAAAAGTTATCTAAACTCAGTTTTGTTTTTTTTTTCTTTACACCAGATTCAAAGAAGATTTTTTCCGGAAAGGTGAAATTGGAGGACACTGTGAACTTGACTCGCACTTGTTGTTGTCTGAAGGTCAACGCAAAAGCCCTCTGCAGTCTTGGTAACGTGATTTTTTTTTTTTTTTTAAAAAAAACACTTGTCTCTAAAATGTTTGCCTTTACTTTGGAAACTTGCAGATTTCAAAAATATCACTTAATTTGTAGATAATCTCAAGTTGTGTTACTGAATTTGCACAGGCCTGAGCTGCTGAGGAGTGACGGTTATAGAAGAATCCTCGGATGCATCTGCATCAAACATGTATGCTTATAGAATAAGAGAAAGTAAAGGAAAAGTCACTCAGAAGTGAATTTTATTCACTCCTAATTGCTGCATACATTCTGGGGAACACATTTTCTTCAAAATGCACATGCTTTGGAATTTATCACTGCATGCACAAAGCGGGGACAGTGTGGTCTGAAAGAGTGCACTCACCTCGTGACCCTTCCTCCAGGCCCTGCCCTGGCTCCTGAAGGGTAAACGCTGCCCTGATTTCCACACTTCTTATTTTGAAGCACTTTCAGACTCATGGGAGTTTAAACATTAAGCAGGGAGCCCCCACTGGGCTGTCGCCCCAGCTTCCTGTAGCAATGACATCTCAGGTGGCACAGCACAAGGGTCAGAGCCAGAAACCTGGCACTGCCACAGGGCTACTCCCTGCACACACGTGGATTCACCAGGCTAAGCAAAGGTGTGCACTGTAAATGTGTGTCGCTGTCTAGGGACCTGTGGCCACCACAGTCAGGATGTGGGATGTTCCTCATTCGGACAACCCCGGGCTCCACCTCAGGGCCACGGAGGCTGCTCTTACCGACAGTCAGCTTTTGTGGTAGAGCATTCATGCTGGCACACCCCGGGTCATAACGGGGGGGCCTGTGCGGTGTTCTGCAGTCTGCAGCCAAGTTTCTCCTGTGACTTAGCAGGTTTGTGCAGTAGGTGGCTCCCAGGTTCCGTTCCTGGTACATTTTGGTGTCTGACTTCATGTAGAGGTGCCCCGGGTATCACTGGGTTAGCATCTCTTGCTCCGTAGCACATCCCTCCCAAACCTCCCGAGGGCGTATTTGTCTATGTTGTCTATGGCTTTATAACAAATGACCCCCCCAACCTAGCAACTTACCCCAGTGAACACTTCCTACTGAGATGATAGAGCTGCTTCTGACAGCAGGACTGGGAGCAGCTTGGGGTGTCCCACGAGGTCAAGCTGCTGGCCAGGGCTGTCGCCATCTGGCACTCAGCTGGCCTCCACAGTCCGCCGCTGAGCTCTCTCGGGTTGCAGCAAGCCTCAGCTGCTCTCTGGCTCTTGGCCTGGCTCTGGTTCAGTCTTCACCCTGTGGGTCTGTCCCAGAGACCCACAGAGCACCAGCGGCTCCCTAGGTCCCACAGGGGCTTCGTGCCCCAGGATGGTCTCCCTGGATCTCAGAAGTGAGGAGCTCTTGCTTCTGCTGTGTCCTGGGTGAGCCCCTGAGCCACCCCACTCTCCAGGTGGGGGATGACCTCCACCCCTTCAGGGGGCGAGGCTGGAGTGGAGTCCTGCTTTTCTTTCTGCACTGTGGTTTTAAAGGAACTGTTTGCTGTTTGTTTTGCGTGAGACCTGATCTCAAGGACGAGGAGGACCAAGGCTCTTCCCGTTCACGGTGAACGTCTCCTGCCTTCCGCCTGGGACTGTCCCTTGTTTGCCATCAGGAAATGTCTTCTGAGAAATAGACTCTCCATGTTTCAGGGGGGCTGAGCTGTGTCTGCTGTCTTTCTGGGTGCTCGGCGATTTGGGGAATCTGATCTCTGTCAGCATTCTAGAAGGCTCCTCTAGGAGTTTCTCTGCCCGTTCTTCTCTTTGCGCCTCCTAAGCTACTGCAAATCCTGCTGATCCTCCAACTGCACTGGTAGATTATTTTGTCCAGCTTGATGTCCATTCTTTGGTGTTAGGTTCCCGGTTTAACTTCCTCGTACATTAAACTGAATTTTAAAATCATCGGATTCCTGTTTCAGTGTTAAAGCTGATGTTGATTATAGGAATGTCTTCCTGGGTACTGGGTGATTTTTGGAATCTGATCTTTTTTAATAGGTTTGAAAAGCTGCTTGTTGCCATAAGAAGGCTTCTAAACACTAGAAACAGGAGCTACCCAGGGAACAGATCCTAAGTTAAAATGTTGCAATAGGGAGTTTGGAAGAATCCTTTAGAAATTATATCCCCATTCATAATTCCAGGTTTGCTGAGCTACGAACCTATACTCAGCTCAACTTCAGACCCATAGAAGATGGTAAATGTGACATTGTCATTGAAAAACCCACGTATTTCATGAAATTAGATGCAGGTAAGAAGAGTTAATTTTTCTGTAACTTAAATCATGACTAATGCAGCCTTAATCTGTTTTTCATATATGTAATGTCGTCATTTTCTGTGAATTTTTAAAAAGCAATATGACTAATGGTGGATTCGCCTTTTGCTTCTTACTCTGAAGTCAATGAACTCGTTTGACTTTCCTGTTACTTTACACTTTTGGTGTTCTAGAAGAAACCCTCACATTTATACCAAGTGACTCATTCAAAAATCACAAGAAGTAGGTGTACTTTCACTCTGTAACTAAATTTACCCCATCTGGATTCTCAATCTCCTGACTTAGATTGTGGGGTTTTTTTGGTTATTGTTGCTGGTGGGTTTTTTGGTTTGTTTTTTTTGTTTTGGGGACTGGGGATTGAACCCAGAGGTACTTAATCACTCAGCCACATTCCCAGTCCCTTATATTTTTTATTTTGAGACAGGGGGCTTCTAAATTGCATAGGGCCTCGCTACATTGTTGAAGCTGGCTTTGAACTTGCGATCTTCCTGCCTCAGCCTCCTGAGTTGTTGGGACTACAGGTGTGTGCCACCATCGCCAGCTGGATTATGTTTTATGACCATTTTTTTTTTTAAATATAGAGGCCAAGGATGTACCATGAGTCAAGGAGAAATGTCCATAACTCCCGACCCCATCAAACTTTCTAATATGACGAAAGTGACTTTAAAATTCTTTTAGAAGTTACCACTGCAGTGTATTTTGGGGGCAGAGGGAACACTAGCATTCTTTTCCCATTTATGTCTGCTGGCCTGCGTCTCGCTGGCATGCGTAACTTTGACCCGGTGAACTGGTTGCCCTGGAGAGGAGAGAAACAGGCCCTAGTGCTCTCTCTGTCCTCCACACTGGGTCGTGTGGACTCTCACAAGAGGCAGGGCACACGGTGAGGCGTGGAGAGCCCGTCCGTGAGTCTTCCCGTCTCTGCCTGCACACGTCGTGATTCTTACGTTACAAAGCCTTAGACTCTGCCATTGGGCAAGTTTGGGTTTTTTGAAATAAGAGCAAGTAAATATGCCCCGTTCAAAGTTCTGGCTCAGTGAAACGGGGCCAAGACACACCTGGCCTGCCTGGGGAGGAGGGGCGTGTGAGCTGCAGGATTGTGGGGTGCAGAGGTGGGAGCTGGGAGGGACAGGCTGAGCAGGCATGTGCCTCTGCTGTCCTCACCACAGCCTCACACTCCGCCCTCTTCCCTGTCCCCTCCACTCTTAGCCGGGGAGGATGAGCACTGGGTGGCAGGTAAGGCCCTGGGCACACTTCCCCAGGGTGCAGCCTGAGTCTGCCCTCGTCCACACGTCCTCCTTGTACTGAGCACTGTCCCTGCATGCTCCGTCCCTCCATCGATGTCCAGAACTCCCTAAGTATCACCCGGGGGAGGGGCACGCATTCTTCCAGAAGTTTATTTTTCTTGTTAATTTGAAAATATGCCCTTTGCCAAAATTTTTCTGGGTAAAAAAAAAAAAAAATGAGCCTTTCAAAACAAAGAACTGAGTAGTTTTTGCTCTTATTTTCTGGCACACAATGTTGTCATTCACTGTGGAAATGAACTCAGAAAGTTGTCCGGCTTCTGCTCCTGAGACTCCCTGTTTTTCTTTCACCCGACCTTTTCCTTCCTTGAACCTGCATGTCTTCGATGCCCCTCCTTGGGACGTCGCCCCCTATTGATTGGCAGGATTCAGGTTCAGTGCTGGGTGCTGCACATCCACATCACGAGCAGAGGTCTTTAATGACTGGCATGGGAACTCGCAGGTAGTGGCAGCTGCAGCCCCTCCACTGTGCCCCAGTGGGCCCTGGCTGGCTGAGGGTCTCACTCTGTGCCAGACACGGGGATGGACGCTTGGAGGTGCCTCCTCTTTGGATTCTCGGGGCAAAGCGGGAGCTCAGGCTTAACTGTCCCCGTTTCCTGCTGTGAGCCCCGAGTGGACTGCCCAGCACTGTGCACCTTCAGCTGGAGCATCCGGGTCACCTCTTCTCAGCAGGAGCTGGCTCATGTTTCCCCAGCAATAGTGTGGGCAGTAATCAAGCAGGGCAGAAGGGACAAGAACGGAACCTACCAAAATGCCAGTTGTCCCCCCTCACCACCCGAGGTCGGTGAATGGGTCCTGCTGAATTGATGTTTTAAAGAAGGGATCAGAAAGAATAAGGATTAGTCTTCATGTTCCTGGTTCCTGACCTGTTTGATTCCCCCACTTATATCAACTCAAAGTCCATCCCAGGGTTGGGGACGGGGTGGAGGTGGCTTCATGCTGGTGCTGGAGGGCTGGTTGAGGTGGATGTCTTTCCGTACACCAGGTATCAACATGTACCACCACTTCTGCGACTTCGTCAATCTCTACATCACCCAGCACGTGAACAACTCCTTCAGCACGGACGTGTACATCGTGATGTGGGACACTGTAAGTACCCGGGTGTGCTCCTCCTTCACCCTGCCACTCAGGGTGTGACCCGAGGCAGAACTTCCCCACACAGACGTAACTCTGTCCCCACGTACGTGTGCAGCACACGTGCACAGCAGAGAAGCTTGGGCACGCTTGACAGTGACGATGGCATCTGCAGGGGAGGCTTCCCACACGGGGAGTCGGTACACCCATGGGGGGTCCTCTGTGGTTCAGCTGAGCATTCTGACTCCTGCCCTAGATGCTCATGTCTCCAGGATGATGTTGCAGGCGGCTGGCAGCCTGCTGGCTGGCGGGGCAGCACTTGGCACCTCTCTGGAGGAGTCACCGCAGCCCACACAGCACGGCCCAGGTGCACGGAGGCCAGGTCCACTGGGGACAGGTACCACTGCCACGGCTGAGGAGCCTCGAGACCCAGGGGCCAATGCCACCTGGAACAGCTACGTTGGCAAGGCCCCCAGATCCCTGCAGGACCATGCCCAGTGCCAAGGGTCACGGTGCCAGGGAGGCCTAAGCCTGGCTCCCCAGCCCAGTGCAGCTCCCTGCCGAGCGTCCTTTTAAGTCAGGAGAACGGTGGTCTAGAAACCTCACTGACACAGGCCATCGTCATTTCCAGAGGGCACCGGACACGTAGTTCTCTGCAGACAAGGAAGAGCCCGGGTCACAGGGCTCCTCTGTGGCTGTGGGAGGTTGTGGCCATGGCCCCCAGACCTTTGCTGGAGTCCGTGGGAGCGGGCACTGTGCCCCGGGGCCTGCGCTCCCCTTTCCTGCTCCCCCACATATGCTCTCTCTGTGTCCAGTGTTGCTGCCCCCTCCCCCCATTTCCTGGAAAGGTCTCTGAGCACAGAGGAAGTCGGTCCCCCCCCCCACCCCAGGTGTGAGTCCTCACAGGGCGGCCAGGACATCCGTCAGAGGGCCTGCGTGGCTCGGCAGGCGGTTTGGCCCTTTACAACAGGACACCTGCCCTCGCGTCCCTGCCTGCCCTCCTTCCCCATGGACGAGGGACTCTGCTTGCACCTGTGGGGACGGGGGTTTTCACTGCGGTTTCCAGAGGAAGGGAGGCCTGGCCGGCAGGGAGTGCTGGAAGGTGCACGGCCAGCGAGGGGCCAGGGTTCCGCTATGGCTTGGAACCCTGGGTGCCTCGTCGCCTTCCTGTGCAGTGTGCAAGGACCCACGAGTCCACAGCAAGCTTCCCCCGCACTTTCCAGAGGCTTCCGTTGCGTCTCTCGTGTCTCCCTGGGTGGCCTTGGGTGAGCTGAGCCAGCCTCTGCACCTGGCCTTCTGTGTGCCCGCTGGGGTGGGACGAGGCACGTGGCCAGGTGAAGATCACAGCCACCTGGTCTCCTGGACACATGAGGTCGGGGCAGTCTGGCCCTGACTGGTGTGAACGGGCAGGGCAGGCGAAGCCCTGGGCTGGGTGGCTGTCCTGCTGTCACCTGCCTTCTCCACTGCCCCGGCATCCGTCACGGGCCCTTGCTCATGGCTTGGGGTGTCCACACGGGCAGTCACTGGTCACTCCAGAGTCCAGGCTGCGGGAGCTTCAGGGCGGGTGTGCGGAGCAGTGAGTCTTGTGGGTACTGAGCTCCTCTGTGCTGGCTGGGCCTTAGGGAAGCAGTGCATGACCTGCAGGCTGTGACCTGCATCCTGCAGGCTGTGACCTGCATCCTCCAGGTGGACAGTATCACCAGAGTCGGGCTGAGGGCCCCAGGGGCGTCCTCCGCCGTGGACAGGGAGGTGGCTGTAGCTGCCGGTCGAACCTTGGTGACACTTTACATGCCGCCACCAGGTGGCCCCTGGGGCCTCTGGCTCCTGCTTGTCCAGTCCAGCAGTTCGGCCGCTCCCTTCAGGCACACACAGAGGCACTGTCCTCCAGACGCCCCTCTGGGGACACCGACGGGAGGGCCTGGCCTCTCACTGACTAGGAGGTTTGTTATTTCTCTGCAACTGAGAAAGCCACACCCGATCATAGCACCACAGAGGGGTGTGGGTCTCCAAAGCCTCCCGCTCCATTTCCACGGTCCCCCAGGGGACGGCAGTTGGCCTGTGGGCGAGTCCCTTGCAGGACTCTGTCTCATTCAATCCATGGGGAGAAGTTGAGTGGCGACGTGTGACGCACGACTGGATCACTCAGGGTCACTGCAGGTGAACTGGACTGGCTGGCCGCTCAGTGACCACACAGAGACAGGACAGACCTTTCTTGGGGTTCAGTGACGGCTCCTCGACCCCAGCTCCCACAAAGGAGGCAAGAGAGGCAGCAAAGGAGAGAGCTCGCCCGAAACCCTCCTGCTTATTAGGGGGAAGACATTGGAGAAAGTTCCACCCAAATAGGCAAGGGGTTATGTTTCAGGGGGTTGCATGGTGATGTCTTGGAGTCAGCAGATCGACTGACGTCTTAGGAAGTCACACCCATGTCACGTGCTGTGTGGGATCATAGGCAGAGCAAGAGACAAGGACACACAGGTCGCACAGCCCAGTCAAAGTAGCCACTTCAGTCCCGTGCCCTCGGGTGCTCAGATGTGCACAGCTCACACACACAGCCCAGGCTGGCTCGAGACAGTGACGTGCCTTGTGGTGTTGTTTTTTTTAACACCAAAACCCCAACAACCCAATTCAGTAATAAATGGGCAGATGAACTAAACAGGCACCTCCCAAAAGGAAAAAAAAATGAATGAGCAACAAACATGTAAAAAAATCTTCAGCATCCCTAGGAATCTGGGAAATACAAATCAAAACTGCACCATGACTCCGTCTCACTCCAGCCAGAAGGGCATCCATCAAGAATACAGACCACAATAAAACCTGGAGAGGATATGGGTCAAAAGAACACCCCCCACTGTTGGTGGAACGATAAACTAGCCAACCACCATGGAAATTGGTCTGGAGGCTCCTTAAAAGACTAGGTAGGTGTGAGCCACCACATGACCCAGCCATAGCACTCCTCGGTATTTATCCCAAAGAATTAGCTGGGCCTGGCGCACGCCTGTCATCCCGGCAGCTCAGGAGGCCGAGGCAGGAGGATCTGAGCAAGCTTCAGCAACGGCAAGGTGCTAAGCAACTCAGTGAGACCATGACTCTTAATAAAATACAAAATGGGGCTGGCGATGGGGCTCAGTGGGTGAGTGCACCTGAATTCAATCCCTGGAGACTCACTGCCCCCCCACCACCCCAAAAAAAGAACCAAAGTTATCTTACTACAGAGATCCATGCAGACCCATGTCTATAGCAGCACAATTCACAGTAGCCAAACCATGGCACCAGCCCAGGTGTCCATCAACAGATGCATGAACAAAGGAAATGGGGTCTGTACACACAATGCAGTTCCACCCAGACATAATGAAGAATGAAATCCTGCCAAGGAATCCTGCAAAGTAAGGGGAGACCAGTGTGTGCCATACTTGGGTTTAACATTGATGTGATTTCTGTTTTAGTCGGGTTCATCACTGCTGTGACCAAAAGACCCGACAAGAACAATGTTAGAGGAGGGAAAGCTTATTTGGGGCATTGTATTTTTGACTTTAGGGTTTTGGAACCCTTTCTCGCTATGATGTGTCTGTAAAGCATGATGCTGTCTCTGACAGTCTTTGCTCATGGAGCGGGTGAGCATGCGTACAGATGGTGCCATATCTGTGCTGAGTGCATCTGTGGCGCACGGAGACACGGCACAGAACACCCCACGGCAGCTGTGGTTTTGGAGACGTGCGAATGCAGGATGGAGATGAGCAGAGCTGTTGGCAGCTGCCATGCAGCTGGGAGGACATCTGTCCTTCCCGTCCAGCGTGGCTCAGCCCCTGTGCAGCCCTGCTTGTCCTGTGTGTGTGCGGCTTGTCTGGGATCCCAGCGTGACTCTGTACCAACGGGCAAAGTCGGGTTTTGCAGCCATCTTGAGAAGCCGGCCGTGCCCTTCCCTGACCCCCCCTGTCCTGTTCCTCTCCCAGAGCTCCTCTGGATACAGGGACCTGTTCTCCGAGACCTGGAAGGCCTTCACGGACTACGACGTCATACACTTGAAGACCTACGACTCCAAAAGGGTACGGGAAGCCTCTCTGTGAATAGCTGCAGCCTGCAGAGACGTAATGGGAGTCTCTGTGAGCGCTCACCGTTGGCTTCTCGTGTCTCCGTGTCTTTTGTTGTAACTAGAGTTCTTGTTTCACTGAGCATATACTCGTGCAAGCCTTTTTTTTTTTTTTTTGTAACTTTAAAAAAAGATGTAGATTGTATTCTCTTGGAAATAGCGTGCAATACAAAGTATTCTAATGCAAAACAGAGATGAGCTTTCCAAGATGACAGTGCTCTCTGTTCTCTTGCCTTTTATCTGGTCTTCCTTCTCAGGTGTGCTTCAGGGACGCCGTGTTCTCGCTGCTGCCCCGCATGCAGTACGGGCTCTTCTACAACACCCCGCTGGTAAGTGCTGCGGGCGGCAGGTGCGCAGCGCAGAGCCCCTGGGCCCGCGGAGGAGGCGCTCACGCCGTGCCTCCTGTGCACCCCCTAGATCTCCGGCTGCCAGCACACGGGGCTGTTCAGGGCCTTCTCCCAGCACCTGCTCCACAGACTGCACATCCGGCAAGAGGGCCCCCAGGTAAGGGTGTGTTCCCTGTGGGTTCTGGGGGAGGCCTGACCTCTCCGACCCAGTGCGAAGCAGCATGGCCTTGGCGGGGGAAGAAGGACCAGGAGACAGCGTGGCCTGGGCTGGGATTTCAGACGGGGCCGTCTGAGTGTGGGTATCAGCAAATGTCCACAAAGAGCTGCCCCCTGCACACCTCCTCCCCTGCTCTGTCCCCTTCTGTGGCCACATCTCCCACCTTCTCCCAGATCCCCTACACACACACACACACACACAGACACACACACTCATGACCCCAGCCGGAAGCCCACCCTGCCGACCCAGAGCCTAGCTGTGGGGTCGGGAACAGATGGGTCTTGGCGGCTGAGGTAGAGGTGTCTGGTCACTTTGAACTGACACAGCGCGACGGTGCGTATTTGCGGGACACGTTGTGATATTTGGAGACATGACGCTAAGTGTGATGCTCAAGGGAGAGAATGGGGCACGCCCTCCGTCTCTCACGGGCGTCTCTGTCCTGTCTCGCAGCACGTAGCGATGGCCTCTTGTCAAGCCTGGTCACTGCATTGCTGCAGAGTGCTGGAACTTAGTCCTCCTCTTAGCTCGGTTTAGTACCTGCTAACCCACCCCTCTCGTCCTGCCTGCCCTCCCCACTTCCCAGCCTCCGGTGTCCCCTGTTCTATCCCTGTTCCTGGAGATCAGCTTCCCAGCACAGGCAGGACCTTCTCTGGGCCCCGCTGTGCACATTTCTTGCATTTTCATCCACCGTGTCCCCCGTGGCAGGGTGGCGTCCCTTCTTGGGGCTGAGTCACGTTCCACTGTGTAGACATCTTAGGTCCGGGTGTCCACCGTCCATCCAGACACGTGTGCCATTGTTTCCATTCTCGTTTTGACTACAGGACGGAAAGCTTCGAGTCACCATTCTCTCCCGGAGCACAGGGTATCGCAAAATACTGAACCAAGACGAGGTTAGTTTTCCACGAGCTCGCTTCATATCCTCCCACGGAATTCACCGCCTGACCCGTGGCCGGCGTGTTTCCACATCGCTTGAGAATCTTCAGTTTGACACTCTGCTGTCAGGGTTTTGGACATCTTGACGGCCTGTCCAGGTTTGGTTGCTGGACTTGACTGGTGGGTGGAAGTCCCCACACCACCCTCTGCCCGAGCCAGCTTGCCGTGCTGCGAGTGTCCCTGAGCCCTGGCTGAGCCAGGAGGGCGGCAGAGCTGGAGTCCTGCTGCCACACCACGGCTGCAGTGGCAGCTCTCGCCCTCCAGGAGAGCCAGGGGCAGTTGGCAGGGCGTCTCTGGGAGATGGTTGGTGGCGTGTGGCAGTACTGTGGCCCTGGCAGCAGATACAGGTGCAGAGTCTCCATCCACTTCTGGGACAGTCTTAGGAATGGCTCGCCTCTTGGCATCCCAGTCCCTTTCCACAGCTCAGGTCACGAAACTGTCTTTCTCCTCAGTGAGGTGGCCGAGTCAGGCCCATGGAGCTGCGGGCCCCGAGGGTAGCCAAGGGTAGCCCCCAGAGTGCAGCGTGGGCCACGGAAGCCTGTGGAGGGCTGGAGGCAGCTCAGGGCAGGCCTGGGTTCCGTCCCAGCACACACAGGAGACCCGCTGAGCAGCTGCTGTGAGCCAGGCTTTGAGAATATAGGGAGGGTCCCTGCCCCGTGGAGTTGGAGAGACAGATGAGGGGCAGGCAGGTCAGCCCGTGGGGGGACCGCAGGAGCCGGAGTGTGTGCAGGAAGCTCTCCAGGTGCTGGGTGGAGACCGGGAGGTGTAAAGGGAAACGTGGAGAGGGGCCGCCATGAGGAGCCTTCATCAGAGTGGAGTCCAGCCAGGGAAAGCCTCCAGGCAGAGGTGGGGTGCTGTGGTGGAACAGGCTCCTGTTGTTCTGGAAATGGGGACAACCTAACGTGGCTGCAGCATCTCCAGGGAGCTGGGGATGTCAGAGGAGCGGGGTGTGGTGCGGCCTGTGGACCAAGGTCAGGACCTGGACTTTGTTCCAGTGTGAGTTGAGAGCCCTGAGCAGGGTGTGGTGGGCAGGATAACTTCCCCTGTCCCTCCGCCTTGTCCTCAGCCCTGGGTCCTATGAATAGGGCGGGTGACATGGTGAGGGCCATTGCAGCAACAGGTGGACTCAGCGTCCCTGTGCTGCCTTAGAATAGGAAGGCCACCTGGATCCCTCACTGGGCAGCTATCCCAGATGGCCGGGAACTCTGTCCACCGTCCACCACAACCTCTGCCCCTGCCCCGGGAGCTCTTCCCTTGGCTAGGTTCACATCTCAGCTTATCTTTCCTTGCAGGGCAAGAGGAGGGAGAAGGCGAGGGAGGGGAGGAGGATCAGGGAGGCTCAGGGTGCTGGCTGTGAAGGTGGGGGAAGGGCCTAAGCCTCAGCCGTGGAAGGTTCCAGGCGCTGGGGAGGGGCGTCTCCCATAGGCACGCAGCCCCGCCAGCACCCTGCCTTAGCCCCGCGACACCCTTGTTGGGTGCGGAAGGATGCACTGTGCTGTTGAAGCTGCTGGATTCCTAGTGACTTCTTGCAGCCCTGTGTTGAAGACAAACACACCCCAGAGACACGGTGGCTTACGTACCCGCCAGTCACTCTGGCTGCGGGAGAGTGTGCGCGGGAGCTGGATGGCAGCCGCAGCCCAGGGAGGGAGGGTGAAGCAGATGAGGATGGTGGGCCGCGGGGGTGAGTTCCAGAGCCAGGCCCAGGGTGCTGGAGAGGTGTGGAGAACCGAGTGTGCCCCCAGGCTCCCAGCTTGAGCAGGTGAGTGGGACTGAAGCAGAAGAGATTTGGGAAGACCAGGGGGGGCAGACTTTGATGGATAAAGTATTGACACGGGTCAATCTGATGTGAGCAGTACGTTCCTGGGGGTCCAGGAGGAGCAAGTGTGTGAGGGGCTGCGGTTCTCGGTCACTGCCTGTGGCTTTCCGTAGCAGCAGAGTGGCACGCGCTGGCTAAGAGCACGGGTTCCGGGGGCAGAAGTCCCAGACTTGAGTTTGGCCCTGCGTTTGCCAGCCGGGAGAGCCTGAGGAAGTTAACTCTCATTTGTAAATGGGCTTCGTCTTCATGGTATTTACTGATTTTTTTCTTTCCTTTTTTTTTTTTTTTTTGGTGCTGGGAATTGAAGCCAGGGGTTCTTTACTACTGAGCTATATCCCCACTTAGTTACTACATCCCTCACTTAGTTACTTAGCCTGACCTTGAACTTGGGATCCTCCTGTCTCAGCCTCTCAAATTGCTGGGATTACAGGCATGCACTCCTGTGCTGTGCTAGGCTTTGGTGTGATTTTTTTTTTTTTTTGTGAGAATTAAGTAAAATGACTTAAAGTACTTACAAATGCCTGCATAGCTGCGTGGGGTGGCACATGTCTATAATCTCAGTGACTTAGGAGGCTGAGGCAGGAGGATCGTGATTTCAAGGCCAATCTCAGCAACTTGGGGAAACCCTGTCTCAAAATTTTAATAAAGGGGTGGGGATGTAAAAGAGTGGTAAAGTACCCCTGGGTTCAATCCCCAGCACCACAAAAAACAA